ACACGAGGACAGCACGGGCGTAACACTACCCCCCCTCTTTCAAGATTGTCGCCCCAGACAATCTGGGAGGGTAGTCAACTCGCGGTAGCTTCTCTTGTGCGCCCCAGGGCGCCGAAACAGTCCTTGCCCTCCTCGAGCTGCTGCTCCAAGTTACCGGGCTCTGCTTCTCTTGGCCCCCGGTAGCCGCACGCCAATCTCCTTCCAAACTTTTTTCCTTGGGGCGAGCTGGCCAGGCTCCCCCTCCACAGTTCGAAGATGACTTCTGCTCCGCTCCCCCGGCGTATCCCTCGTTGTCGGCTTCCCGCGACGCCGTCCCAAATCTTCAGACAAGGGGGGGGGGGGAAACTTCCTGAGGACCCAGCGCCACTTAAGGCTCCCCAGGTCCCTGCCTCGGCATTCGCCCAAGTCCCTCGGGAAACCTCAGTCGAAAACCGAGGGAGAGGCAGTCTTCTTTCAATAAGGAACTCTCCCCGAAGAAGTCTTCAGCCGATGTTTTGCCACGGTATCCCACGCTTTGACGTGAACCGCTGACTCCTCGGACTCCGTTCCACTATAAAAATAAACATACCGCACAGAAACAAAGAATACAAGAACACTTGAATAAAATAAAATTATAACACTTTACACATTGCTCCACAACTTTTTATTAAATACACATTATAATGATTAAATCCCGTTTTGCTCGGGGCACTCGGATCGGAAATGTCCGGTTTTCCCGCATGTCCAGCATTCCCCGCGGCTGGCGTTAAATTTGCTACCACGGCTATTTCCTTTTTGACCTTCCTCCCCCTTTTCTTTCCACTCTTTATCGCCCTCTCCCTTCCCATGATTCGCGTCCGCTTCCAGTCCTTCTTTCGGAGTATTTCGATTAAATTTTTCGCGGATGAAACCCTCTCCTTGAATAATTTTCAATGCTTTTGCTCGCTCGACTGCCCGACTTAATGAGGTTATCCCCTCTATTTGCAACGTACGTCGAACAAAATTATCGGACACAGCCGAAACGAATTGCGAACAAGCAATCTTATCACGAATCTCATAGGGGCACTCGGGGTACGCAAGACGAGATAGACGCTCAATATCGGAACCGAGAGTAGCTAGATCCTCCCCGAACCTCTGTCTGCGATTGGTGAGAGCGGAGTAACTATTCTGCGTTAAATGACCCTCCCCAAAACGTAGCTCAAGCTTCGCTTCCAGCTCTGCAAAATCTAGACAGTCGACATCTTGCACAGTCTCTAAAATGGAGCGCGCTTTTCCCCTCAAACTCGAGGCTAACACAACAGTTTTCGTCGCGTCATCCCAATGGTTCGCACGCGCGATCAAACTCAATTGCGAGAAGTATTCTTGTAACGGGGTTGTTCCGTCGTACGTGTCGGGTTTCAATTTGTACCCCAGGTCGGCACTCGCGACCGCGACACTATCACTCGCGTGTATTCGTGTCCTCACGCCGCTCGGGATCGCGTCCCCCTCACTCGCGTGCGCGTCTCGCGCTTCCGCGCCGCCCGCGACTCGCGTCCCCGAGTCTCCAGACGCTCTATTATCAGAATGACTTAGCTGTGTTTGTGTGCCAGAGTTCATCTCTCGGAGAAAACGGAGCTCCTCCTCCTGCCGGCGAAACGTCTCAGCGTACTCCTTCTCCCTTTGCGCCTGTTCCTCACGCAGGAGCCGGACCTCCTGAATGACGGTCTGAAGACTCTCTGCTAGCGTCACCCCCGCATCCAGCGGATGGGTCGCGCCCGCTTCCGTTCCTACGGATGTCGCGGCCTGCGAACGGGTCCTCGGCGGGGTGTGCGTAGTCGTCATCTTTCAGGAAATTTCGCTCGTCGCGTTTGATCCCGGACGAGCCCCCAAAATGTTACACGCCGACGAGCGTTCGTCACACAATTTCTCACTTTCACACTCGCGGCGCGTGTCACGACACTCTCGCACAAATAAGATGACTCGTTTAGAAATCAGTAGCTCTTTATTACGACTCTCGATATAATAGAGGAGCTCGGGACGATACGTCCGAACGAGACGCGTCCCAGAGTAAATCTGAACATCAGGTATAACAGGAAAATCAATAGTTGATTGAGCATCTCGCAATCAATATTAGTAAACAGCATCCGTCGCTAAGGACGGTTCGCGACGCGACATTAAATAACGGGCGACTCGCATATACGCGC